TCAACCCTGGACACCCAGACCACTTCTGCACCATCATCCCTGGACACCCAGACCACTTTCCCCACAACAGGCACCCTAGAGAACCAGTTCATCTTTCCTGTTGAATTGACCCTAAACACCCAGAGTATTTCCCCAGTAACAGAGACCAGAACTCTTGCAATAAAAATGCCTTCCGACTTCACAGTTGTGCACCCCAAGCCTACAGATACTTCAGCTACAAGTGGCAGCCCCAAAGTAGAAATGAGCAGTGCCAAGACAGGCACAGTGAGTGACCCCGTAGATGCTATCTTTGACACCCTTTGTACGGATGACAGCTCTGAAGAGACTCGGAAGATCACAGTTGACCTCTTGACCTTGGCGCACACCTCCACAGAAGCTGAACACCTGTCCTCGGAGAGCGGCTCCACCTTGGACAACTCAGGTAGGGTCCTCACCAGCCCACAGGTCCTGGGAGCCGACACTGTACCTCCAACCAAGGACTTGGTTGCTTTCAGCATCACCCTTAGTAAGCTCAGCACCTGCATCACAGAGATAGAAACACCTGCCATCATCCCTGGGACCTCAGACACAACCCACAGCCCTACAGGGGCCTTGTCAACTTCCGAGACACTAACTTCACCTCAATCCCCTGAGGCAAATCCACTTAGCCCCAAGACCACAAGCTCAGCTGGGACTCTGTGGACAACTGGTACCTCAGCTCTTGTCACAACCCTTGAGGGCACACTCCCTACTAGTGACGTCAAAGAAAGAGAAACAACAGCGGCTCAGACTCCCACCTCTGGTGGTACTTTGGTGACAGTTAGTACGAGCCCACTGAAAGAGACCTCGGCACTCTCTATTGAGACGCAAAGCCACACTGAGGTCTTGGGAACAATTACAGTCCCCAGGGCTGCTGGATCAACAATGGCAGAAACAATATCCTTCTCTGGTTCCTCAACTTCAGACAGCAGTCCCTCAGCAGGGGCCACCACCAAGGGCTCTACCACCACAGAGACTTTAACCGCAGATGATAGAACCGGCAGCTCCTTCCTCGCAGGCAGTAGCTCTCTTCCTTTTGTCTATTCAACGATACCCAGCACCAGTAAAAACGCAAACATCACCTTAGCCAAGACTACAGCATCACCAGGGACCCCAGTGATGCCTTCACCATCTACACCCACTACTTTTTGGACAAGGAGAACCCCAAAACATGATCCAGGTAAGTGAAACCCCCATCTGGGGTCTTTGTGGATTTAGGTTTGGAGTATTTTTTGTTGTGTGTGGGGAGCAGTTTCGAGATAGGGTTTTTCTGTATGTACCTTTGGAGCCTGTTCCAGAATGTGTAGACCAGGCTGATCTTGAACTCACAGAGATCCTCCTGTCTCTACCTCCTGAGTGCTGGAATTAAAGGTTTGTGCCACTGCTGCTCGGCTAGGTTTGGAGGGTTTTTTGTTTTGTTTTGTTTTTTGTTGTTGTTGTTTTGTTTGTTTGTTTCTTTTTTGGGGGGGGGTTCAAAACAAGGTTTCTCTGTAGCTTTGGAGCCTGTCCCAGAACTTATAGACCAGGCTGGTCTCAAACTCACAGAGATCCTCCTGTCTCTACCTCCCGAGTGCAGGTTTGGGCCAACAGGGTTTCTCTGTAGCTTTGGTGCTCTTGTAGACCAGGCTGGTCTCAAACTCACAGAGATCCTCCTGTCTCTGTCTCCCGGGTGCTGGGATTAAAGGCGTGTGCTACCACTGCCTGGCTGGTTTGGAGTATTCTTAAGGAGTTGAGAGGAAGGAAGGGGTTCAAGACCAATGTTGCAAACTCTCCCTGACATTTCATGATTTCCTGGTAGGTTGATAATAGGCAGCTACGATGTATATGTGATATGGTCATGTGTATGTCATGTGGTCATGTGTATGTCATGTAGTCAAGTGTATACCATGTGGTCATGTGTATGTGATAAGTGTGAAACGGGTTTTCAAGGAGTGGTTGAGATCTTGGCTGTTTTAAGCTGAGAGACAGGACCTGTCCCTATCCTCAGAGTCTAGGTTTCTTCACCCTGGGTGGGAGGCCAGGGCTGCACTACACTGGATGAACAGCATCTTTCCCAGATCTGACCTTTACATTGTCAACTCTTGTACAACTGCTGTGCTTCAGGGGAGATCGGAAATGTTTTTTAAACACTTGGCCCTTAAGTCAGTCGTGCCCACGCAGAAGGGAGGAATGTGGACAAGCAACTTGTCCAAATCGCTGCCACGTGAGCATGCAGAGGGCACGAAAGTGGGGCTCAGTGGCCATGTTTGCTGTGCTCTTATCAAAAAGAGTGACTTTAGGCAACCAATGAAACAACATTTGGGGAGCTTGAATCTTAACTTCTGAAACGGCAGAAACGTCTCTGAGGAGCCCCCCAGTCGTCAGCTCTGTGGTAAGAAGAGCTGTGGGCGACCCGGAGGGAGCACCTGCCCCTGCTGGTGGTGGTGTCCTTGTGGTTCATTCCTGCATGTCTTTGCCTTGTCCCAGCTTTCTGGGCAAGGGGGATAAGATACTAATCACAAGTTGAGGACATAGCTCAGTGATGGAGCACTTGCCTCTGGCGAGTGTGCCTGAGACCCTACATTTGACCCCAAGCCCTGAAAAGTCTCGGCCTCTGTCATCTGTACCTCTCTGTGTCTCTCTGTCCCCATCATCTCTGTGTGTCCACCTCAATCTTGATCTCTGTCGCCTGTCTCTACCATCTCTCTCTCTTTCATACCCGTCTCTACCAGCGTCATTTTGTCTTGATCTCTACCCTACTATCTCCCTCATCTCTTTATCATCTCTGTCAGCTCTGTCTCTGCCGTACATCTTCAGGCATGATCGCACAGGTCCTGCAAACCAGCGCTCAGGAGGTAAGAAGCAGGACTGTGAGTTTGAAGCCAACTTGTTCTACATAGTATGACCCTGTCGGAAAACCAGAATCAGCCCAAAACAAAAATTAAAACAGAAAAATATTTAACCACAACCATGTTATTAAATATCTTTTATATTCTGGACAGAAAATAATGTAAAAATTCTTCGTAGCCAGTAGGCAGAACCCCAAAATGAATTTGCCAGATGCTCTAGTGTTCTGTCTGTTGCTGTGTGAACACCATGACTAAGAGGAACTTGGGGAGATGACTTATTGGCACACAGGCCACTCTGATGGAGGCGGTTCCTAAGTGGGATTCCCTCCTCCCAGCTGTGTGTAGACCTGTGTCAAGTTGACAAAGCTACTACGGCACCAGAGGGGGACGACTGAACCTGGCTGTCATGGGTGCAGGCCCCTGATAGGATGTGGCTGTCATGAGCTCAATAATGTACAAGGGAAATCTTTACCCGAGAATGGAGTAGTGGCAGACATTCTGTCAAAGAAATGCCTAGGAACTGCAGGCTAGTTCACACTGGTGAGTTTGAACTCAGTTCTGCCTAGGAATTGCAGGCTAGTTCACACTGTGAGTTTGAATTCAGTTCTGCCCAGTGCTAGCTTCAGGATCCATTTTCAGAACATTTCCTTAGCCTGGTTCTAAAGAGCATCTGGACCAGGCAATGTTACCACAGAACACCAACTTTTTCCTTTTTGTGGGTTCCTAAAAAAGTTAGTTTCAAAACTTGCCTCAGTGAGCTTCTCCTTGGAGGCTGATGGCATGTTTCCCATTCCGAGAGCCGAAGGTGAAGTCACACATGTGGGGTGGTCCCCAGGTGAAGTCACACATGTGGGGTGGTCCCCAGGCAAAGTCATACATGTGGGGTGGTCCCCAGGCAAAGTCACACGTGTGGGGTGGTCCCTGGGTGAAGTCACACATGTGGGGTGGTCCCCAGGTGAGTCACACACATGGTCCCCAGGTTCTAGGCACAAGTCCTCTTGATGTTCCCACTCCCACGGAGCACTCTATTAACAAAACTAGTCTGTCAGCATGGAGGATGAACCATAGGTGGCTGTGTCTCACAAAGAGGGCCTTGAAGTGGGGGTGTGTATGAGGGGGTGTGAGGGTGTGAGGGTGTGTGTGAGGGTGTGTGTGAGGGTGTGTATATGTATGTATGTATGTGTTTATGCATGAGTGTGTGCATATATGTGGTGGGAACAGGTATTCATGTGTCATGTGCACATCAGGAGTTCAGAGGAGAGTTTTGTACAACCATTTTTCTTCTTCCACACTTGGGTTCCAGGAACCATTCTTAGGTCACCAGCCTTACTCAGCAAGTCCTTGACCCATTGAAAGACCTCAAAAACTCAGAAAAGAGTTCTGAGCACACATCTCAAGGAAATTTACCCAGCTTGAATTCCAAATCCACAGCCTCTCAGATCATTCATTTCCTTGGTCCAACCATCAGGCACAAAATCAGTCAGTGCCAGATCAGGAGGTCTAGGGAAATTAGTTATCTAGAGCATCAGTGATCCCATAGGCAGCTGGGACTAACCCGGGAATCCCTGGCCCAGGACTTGGGCTTGGTGTCACAAGTTTTGTTTTTTTTTTTCTCTCAAGAAACATACAGTAAGGTTTATTTTTATTTGTCCCAGATAGCGAGAGTTTTCATACATTCTATCCAGTCCAGCCTGGTAAAACAGTATGTTCATTGATGTTACCTATGAGAGTCTGAATGGCTCAGAGGCAGTCACGTCACCAAAGAATCCCATCTCTTATGTAACCTTGGGGAGGGGCTGGGCCTGCTGAGCCTCCCTGAGCCTTGAAAGAGGGGAGGCTCATAGACCTGATTTGAAACGGATCTTCTATAGGTGGTCACAGCAGCAGTGATCTAAGACGTCTGTTATCATACCTAGCACAGAGGTGTCAGGCACAGCACTAGTTGTGGGCAAAAAGTTGGGAGGCCCACCAACCTTTGTTTCTACCACCCCAAAAGGCTAATGACTTTGTTGGAACAAAGAAAAAAAGATTCATCTGGAAAGGGGCTCTCAAATATCTGAAGGGCTTCTTAAGGAACAGGGTGTAATAAAAAAGACAGGATTCCAGAGGCAGAGACGTCAGAAGA